CTTATCAATCAACATAAAAATAAAGAAAAAACTTGGTATGATGACATGCTCAGAATAGTTTAAATACATTTACTAGTAAAAACAGAGTAAATGTAGGAGTGTCCCCCGCTAGGGAAACGTAAACAAATGTGTAGATACTTCACAAGGCAGCGACATGCCTCGAGATGTCCTCATTATCAATATTAAGAAACAAGACTTACTTCGACTGATGGGCCAAATAATGAGCGAAGGAATTCAGCGTAAACGGTATCCTCAGGATCATCAATAAAATCATCGTTTAAAGAACGAACAGACGAGTCATCAAATGCAAACGAGACCCCAAGTTGACCATCTGCTTCGTTAATGATAGTCTGATTATTCGGAGCTTCATTAATATTTGTGCTTTCTGAAGGCCAAGGAGTTTCATGATTTGGTGAACATTCTGAGGTTCCATTTAAGCCAATGTGTGCTATTTCGACGGATCTAGAAAATTTCACTTCAGATGGGGAAAGAATGGATAAATCCTCTCGGGGATCATCATCAAAAAACTCGCTAAGAGAAAGGTAAGGAGGCGTTGAGCATGACGATTTGGGAGGAATTTGTTCAATAAAAACAGCGTCATCATTACCGTTGGATTTATGAAAGGCTTTTGATCGGGTGTAGTACGATGAAGGAGAGGTACTTGTATTGGAGTTTCTGCCATCACAAAATAGAAATTCCTCTAAATTGATATCGGATAAATCTATATATAATAATAGTACGAGATAAATAAGAAATTACCGTCAGATGAAATATTCTCAGTACAAGGGCTTATATCCACGTAGTCTTGAGCGGCATCAAGATCTGCCTCTGTTCTTGATAAGTTGATCAAGTGACCAGCACTTTTTACTTTATTAGCTTTAATCTTTGATGACCTATCAAAGGCGCAATCAATAGCAAGATCTTTAAGCAGTTGCCTCCTATCATATTCCGATGGAACATAATCTTCATCATACGTAGGCTTTCTAAATACTTCTCCGTGTATTTCAGGAGTATTTGAATCAATGCATGCCTCGTTCTCATCATCTGAAAATACCATATCTAAAATTGTCTGCGCATCACGAGGACAATGCGAAGAACACTGTGTAGATAAGGTATGTCTGGGAACATTCGACTCCTTAACCCGGCGAGCAAGAGAACTACAAAATTGCCACAGGAAATTATTAACGTTTTTTAAAGTAACTATCAATGAAAAATATCAGTTAAGCTTTGTAATATAAAAAGCATGTGTGACAACTTTATACCGTTAATTATTAACAGTGGTAACTAAACAAAAACATTGATAACAAAGTACAATCAAATAAAATATTAGTTACAGAGAGATGGAGATAACAAAGCTGCATGAATCAGGCAAAACGTCATATAAAGGATATTCGAACTAGCATGCTTTATTAAAAATATTAATGGCATTCAAAATCAAGGTATGAAAGCAATAAAACCACTGACCGAGTCATTATCCTAGATTGTAAGGGGAAGGCAGATGATAAGTCGGAAGATCGAACGCCAAAGCACTTTGCATGCAGTTTAATGGATGTAGAAGGCTCACCAGATCCTTGCTCAACGATATTTACATCATTGTTAATGTATTGGCGG